TCTCTCTCAAGGCCCTGATTGTGCATCTCTGGGGTCCTTCGGCCTGGCCTATGCCCTCTTGCAATCTGGGACCCCTGAGGGGAGGTCAGAGAGCCAGTTTTGGCCCAATCCTGCAGGCCAGGCGGAGGGACCCCACTGGTGCACAAATTCGTACATCAGGCCTTTAGTTGGGTTATAAACCTCATCTATTTATTTATCTTATATACATGTATACATATTTACCTATATTTACTGTGGTGAAACACACATAAAAGTTACCATCTTGACCATTTTTAAGTGTATAGTTCAGGATTTTAAATATATTTACATTGTTGTGCAGCCATCACTATCATCCATTTCCTTAACTGTTTTCATCTTGTAAAACTGAAACTTTATACTCCTTAAATAATCCACTTTTTTCTCCATTATGCTTTCTTGTTTATGATTTTGACTACTTACTTTAAGAATCTTATACAAGTAGAATCATAAAGTACCTGTCTTTTTATAATTAAGATTACTTCACTTAACATAATGTAATTATTTTAGATATATACCCAGACACCTATTTATTTTTGCACTGGCTCCAAATAGCTTGAGTAATTTAAATAACCAGACTGTTAAATAGACTGCCAATTTGACATGAAGAAATACACTTTTCTTTCATAAAAAAAAAAAAACATTTATTGAAAGCCTTCTTTGGTGTCAGACTTGAACTAGATCATGGGGATATAATAATAGCAAAAATAACTTAGAAATATATTAGAACATTTTCTTTGATTTAGAAAAAACGAAAAACAAACCACCAAACAGAGCTGAATATATTGATGTTCATCCCTGTGGTAAAAGATGAAGATGATTTGAGAATTCAGTGTTCTTTCTTACTTCCACTTTTATTCCTGTTTTGCTGTCAAGACTCAGATCAAGATGATTTGTTTTTCTGTTATTCCATAAGGGAGTTCCAAAGGATTGCATTCAAACATTTTCTAAGTAATTCAAGCATGGTATCAATTGAGTAACAGCCAAGAGCTGATTTAAAATCTCTTCTGTAATAATATGCACAAGGAATTTAAGGGGTGGGAAAGGGGGGAAAGAAGGAGTAACACGGGTGTAAGACTTCTAGATCAATTCATCCATAGTTTAGTGACCAAAAATGTCCCAATGTCTTGTTTCATTTCTAGCTTTTGTTCCCTTATATTCTTTGCTCACTGAAAGATTGTTCACTTGTTGCCAAAACCAAAGGAAATTTGTGGAAGAATCTAACCACAGGCAAGTGAACTGTGTCTTTCACTCCACACTGATGCTTTTCTGTTACATACAGTAGAAAGACAAGGAGTATCAGGGAATCCACAGTTGTCCACAGTGCCAGGCAAGGCCTCACTGGCAGATGCAGTTCATTCTTAGAGATAGTGAAAGTTTCCTTTCAGGTGCCACTGCACATCTCGGCTCATGGTGTCTTGGCTGACAAGCAGTGGGTGATGCAAGACTGCTGATGCTAGGGGCCAAATGAAGAGTAAGCTGAGTCAGTCAATTCCCCACCAAGAGGAAGGAATGGCCAGAGAATGCCAGAGTGACCAGGAACCTGAAATTATGCCTGAATTTCTAAAATGATGGAGAGGGAAGGGCCACTCAGGTCTTTCAGGAAAGGGTCCCAGCCTCCAAGAGCAGCCATCAGGAGGAAGAACGTGGATGGATGTGAGTTCTTGTGGCTTTAGCAGCTTTCTTATCCTTTCAGATCTTCGCCCAGTTGTGAATTCTTCCAGTGAGCCCTCCTTGATTTTATAACTTGGGAGTAATGTCTCTCTTCTTGCAACCATGTCCTCTCCTCTGCTACTAAATATTGTATCTCTTATGTCATATACATGCTGGGGCTTCACAAATAAGCCTTTGTATACCCAACTTCCCTTACCGTGCCTGGCCCAAGCTAGGTATCTAAAACCAAGGTTAAAAAGTGGGTAAATCTGACCGAAAAAGTCAGTTAGGTCACTAATTGTGTAGCAAGTAGGACTTCTTGTGGTCTTGGCAGGGAGGGGAATCTGGGAAAACTGGGGAAGAGTTGGAATGGGGTTTATTGGCCATAGTAGTTCAAGTACAAACAGAGGGAGTACAAACATTGAAATTAGGAGGTAGCTTTTTAATCATTATCCATGCAACTATTTGCTCATTTCATTTAGATGGCTACCATGCCAAAATGTTACATTGGCATAAATGGTGAACTTTTCCTATGAATGGCTTTCTTTCAGGTAATTTTGCTGAAAAAAAAAAATCACAGCAGGCAAGTCCACTATTGGTACCCTCATTTCACAGGCTCGGATGCTGAAAGGTGTCCTATCCTTATATCCTTATGTATCTCATCGTCTTAATTAAGGAGTGCCAGAATAAAGTTCCCTTATTCCATTTTCCCTGAGAATGTACTCACCTCAGAAATGAAAATCCAACTTGTATTATTAGTACTCATCATTTTACACAAAATCAACATTTCAAAAAACACTTTGAGGCTTCCTGTAGGTCCAAATTGTTATCATTTTCCAGTGACATGAAAGGTAGTGCTCTGTTTTATAGACTCATTATATTAGGATACCAAAGAAGGCCTCATCTCGGTGATGTGTTTGATGGTGTTCTATGTGTCTTTTTCATTAAATTTGATTTGGCGTATGTGGTAATATTGTAGTCTTCAATAGGAACGCAGGTAAGCGAAGTTAATACATTAAAATGAATCATACTGGAAATCAGCAAGAAGGGCAAATAGTCATGGAGTTCCTGCAGGGACTAAAGTTTAGTTAATTAGCTAAAAAGATAACCAATTCTCTATTCCTATAAAAAATGTAGCTTTAAAATACAAATCTCTTGCAGTTCTAGTTTCTGTACTTGAGCTACTTACCACAGAGGAACACTGGAGTTATACATAATTAGAGTGGGTCATGATATTTTCACTATTTTATAGATGAGGAATGTCAGTCATGCTGAGAAAAAACACCTAGTTCAAGTTCTTTGGAGAATTACTGATGGGCCCAATGACAACCCATATTCTTGCCTGGACCACTACAGTATGCTTTTCAGAAGGGTGATAATGCTTTTACAACTTACAAGTATGCAAAGAATAAAATAAAAAACTGTAATTTTTTTCTTAAAAATCACTAAAATTTTATATATCTAGAATAAAAACCATACAAACCCAAGTTCATACTGGGCACTGACAGCTAAAGAAAAAGAACACTAGCATTTATTTAGAATGTGAAAACATGTTTGTATAAAAACACATATTTATCATCAGTCTCTTTTCTATACCTTTTGCAATTAAATGTAAGCTATTTATATAGTTCTTTCTTTTCCTTTTTTTTGTTTTTTGTTTGTTAATCCTCACCATAGGATTTTTTTTCCATTGCTTTTCAAAGAGAGTGGGAGGGAGGGGAGAGAGAGAGAAAGATTGAGACATTGATGTGAGAGACACATCAACTGGTTGCCCCCCACATGTGCCTTAAACCAGGGGGCAGGGATTGAACCCACAACCCAGGTAAATGGCTTTGACTGGTAATTGCATCTGAGATCTCTCAGTGCATGGGCCATCACTCTAACCATTGAGAAATACCAGCCAGGGCATTATATTTTTCATTTTTAACAAGGATTGGAATTTTAGTAGTTTCAGAAAAAAAAATTATTAGATGTTCTATAAATTGGTAATTTTATCCCCAAAATGGTTCATGCTTATATTGTATTCTGAGGTACAGTCTTCATAGAGACTAAACTAGAGTGAGACCTAACAATAGAACAAAACAGGGAAGGGAAATATTTATGTCAGCTGATGAAAACTAAAAGCAAGGCCTAAAGCCCTTATCTCTGGCATGTTCAGTATGGAATGCATAGTTGATTTTCATTCAGCCACTAGAGAAAGGTATTCTACAATGACAGGACCTCTCAACATTACAACTAGTTGGCTTCCTCCACAGCAGTGGTTCTAAACCTTCTAATGCCTCGACCATTTAATTCAGTTCCTCATGTTGTGGTGACTCCCAACCATAAAATTATTTTCATTGCTACTTCATAACTGTGATTTTGCTACTGTTATGAATCATAATGTAAATACCTGTGTTTTCCAATAGTCTTAGGCTCTGCAGCAGCAGTTCTCAACCTGTGGGTCGCCTAAGACCATTGGAAAACACAGATATTTACATTACGATTCATAAGAGTAGCAAAATTACAGACATGAAGGAGCAACAAAAATAATTTTATGGTTGGGGGTCACCACAACATGAGGAACTGTATTAAAGGGTCGTGGCATTAGAAAGGTTGAGAACCACTGTTACAGGGAACAGCAGATAGCTAAGTAAGACTGAAGCGAGACCTCTTACCTGTTTCCTCCGAAATTATTTCTCTGTCGTGGACATTTGGCCAAGTGGTTAGGTCTAGCATGAGCATGTGATTTCTAAAAGAAAGAGTGGGGTCTGCTAAAATGTTTAAAGGGAACACTTAATAAAAGCTGACCTCTAAGCAGTAAGACATCAATTTATTTAACCTTTAAGATTTTTTCCCCCCAATAAATATGTTATTCCTTAAATATTAACATGATCATTCTGCTTAGATTGTCAAGAATGCTTTTTATTGTTCCTAAAATTTCCCAGTAAGGTGAAATAAACGATTCAAAGACATGCAAGATGAAATCTCATATTTATAGCAATAGATTGATTGTAATATATGCATGATCAAATTGTGTCTTTAAATGACAGCTTGATATTTTAAAAATTGTACTTAGAAATGATACTGTGTGCCATTTATCTTAACATTGATATTTTTAGGATTAGCTTTATTAACAGAAGGGATTTTCATGCATTCCTCAATTTTACACTAGTTTTAATATGCACAGTCTTTAAGTTCAAATCAACAAATATTCAAGCCCATTTGAGAAATGAATTAAATTAGATTACCTTTTTATATAATTGGGTCAATTCTTTTAGGAGTAAAAAGTTACAATGGGATATAAAAACCTAAATTTCCAACGTTACTGTTAATTCAACCACATGTCTTATTTAGGCCACAGGACTGCCCATTAGCCTTTCTTGTCGAAGAGCAATTAATCTCTTGAACCACTTCTCCTCAGCATCAGCTTTCTCAATAAATAACTGAAATAAAAAAGAAAAGAAAAAAATGTTATTGTGTACTAATCACTTGGGTTTGACCTCACATGATGCAAAGCACCTTTTTTGAAATACATCTTCCAGCACAAGATTTGAATTCTGTTTAATTCTGGATGACTTCTTAACTGGAGATCATCTATTTGGAATTAATAATGATCAGAAAGTTTTGGAGTAAAAGTAATATCAACATCATTTGGTTAACAATGTTATACCTTATTTTGTGAAGTTTATTTCCTACATTCTTTCTGAGAGACCGAGTGAAATGACAGCATTTCACAGAAGACAGCAAATTATGTCCATGACAAGTTCATACTCAATGAACCAACTAAGCTGAACCTGAATCAGATCTTTTAGTGCCAGATTAAAAACACAACAAAACTCCTCTTTGTGCCTATTTTTCTTAGTCATAAGAGATACTTCCAGAATTCAGGCAACATGAGTTGGATATACCATAGTCAAATACATGTAACAGCTCCAAGCGCTGGCGGGTGTGTGTGTGGGGAGTCACTTGCCTACTTTTAGCAAATTGGAACATATGAATCCATTTCCTACACCGGTCTTCTTGTCGCCAACACAAAAGGGCAGCAGTCTGAATTCATTTCAGTCAACTAGACTTCAACTGACAGTCTTAGGCTTAAGGATCTTACGTTCGGATGAGCCAGGGAATTGTCATCTTGGTACTTGATAGCAGTAGGGATGCTGCTCGGGTCTATTTCTTTTTCATTACTGGGTACATCAGCAGCTGCTGACACTGGTCCTGATGCTGCAGGGACATGCTTCACTTCACTGGCTTCCAGTGACTGACACAAAACACGTATTATTAATTGTATCACAATATACAATTAGAATTCTGCTTTAATAATATTTCTGATTTTGAATAATAATTGCTCAATAGTCTCTTCTGAGATGAAAGTCATCATGAAGAAGCCCTAGGTTATTAAAAAAGAAATAATTACTCCCCAAACAAGCAAACAAATACAAAAACATTGAGAAAATGCTTATCATTTATTATGATCAGCATAATTTTAAAAGAAATTGGTACTCTGAGTCCATACTATTGAAAAATATGTATATTTCATATATGTAGATTCCATTATGAAACAAGATTGCAACAAATCTCCAGCATTTAGTTGGCCTCTTTAGGTATAAAAAGCAAAGTCATAGGTTATTTATTTATTTATTTTTAAATAACAGTCTTACTGAGATATAATTCACATATTGGAAATCATATAGCTTTTAGCATGCCCAGAGAGTTTTGTAATCATCACCACAAGCAACTTTAAAACATTTCATCATCCTTTCCAAAACTCCATACCCATTAGAAGTCACTACTCCCCATTTCTTCCCAACCCTTGGCAACCGCTAATCTGTCTGTCTTTATGGATTTGTCTGTTCTGGACATTTCTTAAATAAGAAATCATACAATATGTGTTTTTTAGTGACTGGCTTCTTTCATTTAGCATAATGTTTTCAAGGCTCATCCATGTTATTCACATATCAGTACTTCATCCAGTTTTATTGCTGAATAATATAGGCACTGTGTTAAAACCAATAAATCATCATCCCTGCCAGGAAGGAGCCAGCAGTTTGGTGCTAACTCGGGCTGGTTCCAATATTTCCTTCCCTAAGGAAGGAGAAAGCTGGGGAAGCAGTGATTAGCAGCAGGGTTTCAGGGATAAAATGAAATGGATTAGATGAGAAGTTGAAATAAAAATAAAAAATGAAGACAATTTGGAGATGAATTCAACTTTTTAGACCCTTTTCTATACCTATTGGTTCTACACCTATTGTTTTTCAGTTTCCATTTTCTTTTTGACCTGTCTACTCCTGAACACTCACTTCTCTAAATGAAGGGGAAAACAGATTTCACTGAGAAAATCATATAGAAAAAAAAAAAAAAAAGGAAATAGGCATGAATGAGTTAATCCTTAGAATAACATCTTAGAATTAAAAATCTATCTATTTAACCAGTATTTATTAAGTACAACTAACTGCTAAGCACTGAGTACACAAAGAGAATAAATTACTATGTTCCCTGTCCCAATTAGAGATTACATTTTCCTAATGGGACTGACAAATTACTAACAAATAATACATAATAATCCTCTATAATAAAGAGCTAATATGCTAACGGTGGTTATGCCCTTATGCTGCAATGACCGATCAGCAGGAGGCTGCATGTGCAGCAGTGCGGAGCTGCCACGTTGCTCCAGAGATGGGGCGGAAGTGGGGAGGCGCCTGGAGAAGGCGGGGACCATTCCGTGGAGGGGTCGGTGGGGGTGAGAGCTCATAGTGGCCCCCTCACCAGTCCTTCGCCACTTACTGCTCGCACTCAGTGTGCCCGCCGCCCACCGGCCAGGGGAAGGAGTGCAGTGTGTGCACTGCAGGAAGCGGTGCTCGAAATTCTGCAGCAGGCATGAGGCTTCTACACTCTCTTCTGGTGCCATGATGGGGCAGAGCTGCTGCATTGCTCTGAAGACTGGGTGGAAATGAGGAGGCACTTGGGCAGGCAGGACCAGTCTGAGGTGACTCGCAGGGCCTGAAGCAGCCAGAGAAGGCCGGAGGGGCGGGGGGCGGGGCCAGGTACTCTGGAGCTCTGGGTGGAGGTTAGGGTGTCAAAGTGGGGCAGTGGGCAGGTGGGAGGGGCACGCGTGGGTGGGCAGGGCTGAGCGATTTCATATATAAATACAAATTATAACAAGCAACAAAAAAAAGATTTAAGTAAATATTTGTTAAATTTGAATTGGAAGTTTTATTCTTATATTTTGGAGCCAATAGTTACTCCCTCACCCCCAGGTCTCAAATATTTCTATGACTCCAACATACTGGGCCTAGAAGACTCACGATTCTTATTTAGAAGATATTATACTGACTCTTTATAAAGCTGAAGACATAGAATTAAACCCAATATTCTGCAAGGGAAAAAAATGGGAAGGGTCCTAATCCAGTGAGGTCCAGGGCATCACTGTTTGGTAGTCTGTGTTGCTGTGCAGAGACAAGAAGAGAATGCCATTTTGCATACCTTTGCCATTCTTTGATAGGGCTTAGTTAGGAGCCATGCTGTCTGGATGGAACTGCTTTGAAAAATTGTGGCATGCTCTTATTCTAGTTGCCAAAAGTATGGCAGAGAAAATATTTCATTATAAAAACTAAGTAATCTAATTCTACTTTTTACCTACACTGTACATATTTCTTTGAGAAGTTCTTATGCAAACATAAGTGTAGTTCACAGAGGTTTGAGTCAGAACATGAAAGTTATTATATAATAATACATAATTAAAAATGTGTGAAAGCAATCAATAACTGCTTCTTTATTTAAGGGAAGAAAATAAAGAAAATTTGATGATTAAAAAACCCTCAACATGGCCACTATTCAACATCTGGTTTTGAATAGTACTGCCACCTGGTGGTTCAGTATGGAAAAAAACTGTTTCCGAATTGTACTTCCAAGTTCAAGAACAAATTACCCTCTTTTTAAACAGAGATGGATATCTGCCAGATATAACAATTGAAGGGATAAGTAATTTGTAATAATTTTATTATGGACAGCAGTCTTAAAACAAGCTGCATCTTTTCTCTGATGCTGATGATAAACCAGGAGCAAACTATTAGATTGCTCACGAGAGAAACATGATTGCAGAGGGTAAGCTAGTCCAATCGATATGTGTTATAGACAGCATGGTGTCTGGCATGTCATTAGTAACAGCCACTTTTCTGGTAACGGCTCCCTCGCTTAATTAGTGGAATTAACACTGCTAGAGACTCTACCAACGGAAAGGGTGGAGAGTACAGAAAAGCCTTTTTCAGAGATATAACCTTTATAACGACGAGTGTAGAACTTTCTAGGAGAGAGAGATGTTGAAACTTGGGTTGTGGGTAATTTAGTCCTCAAGAGAGTCTTTGCTATGCATCAGGGATACCCCATCACCTCTCTCATGATCTGGATGAAACAGTACTCAAGATAATTTACCTCCCTGTGCTAAGTAATCTCCTAATAAATAATTCAGCTTCGTGGGCATCCTGAATTCATACCATATACTGTAGACACAGACATTTTAGAAACTAAAAAAAGAATATCACTTTCTAAACTAAGATTGGTCCTCTGTTTTGTATTGCAATCGAATGTGAATTTACTCATTGTTGGCCCATCACTGCTTTTCTGATAATTTTGAAATGCAGTGACTAATACAAAGCCCAGTGTTGGGTGGCTAATCCTATTATACATTCACCAAGATAAATTACATCTAGGCTTTTTAGCATAGTCCCCTGTTGGAGCCACTTACTCTGTTTCAATGCATGCTTTCTTTTTACTACAGCAGGGAATGTTCATTGAGTCCACAATTACTAGACATTTGATAGTAGGGAAAAGAGGCTCTGGAGTTGGACGAATTTAGTTTAGATGCTGCTTCTTGTCATTTACTAGCAGGTTGACCATGGTTAGAAAATTTGCCGAGCTTCAGCTTCCTTAGCTATAAATAAGGGTTATTGGGATATTACATAAATTATATATGTTAAATGTCTGGTATTAATGGTAGCCATTTAAGTTAAATTTAAAAGGCGGGGTGGGATACAACATTGTTTCTCATAATTTGCTCAGTGCTTTAATGTTTTCAAATTGCTTTGCTGAAACAAGCTGGTCCAAAGCTGATGCCTATACTGGAAACCAGCAAATTTAAAGCTATATAAAGCTCTTAAGTAATTTTTAACCATTTGCTAGTAATATAATAGGTCACCAAGCCTCAAATTAGGAGAATTGTAGGGTGTAGAAACCATAAAAAAAATTACAACAATCTCTGGTCCAACCAAAATGGGAATCCTTGTGCCTACAATTCCTCTTTGGGAAGCCATCGACAAATATATCCCTCAGTGAATGGGAAGAGGAGGAGGTGCAGGAGCAGGAGAAGAGGAGTCAAACAGCTTTCATTTCTGGAGTTTTCCTGTGTGCCAGGCACTTGGCTGACTGTTCTACACACAGTATCTTGCTTATCTTTTAAAGATCTCTGCCATGGGCATTATCCCCAGTTGAAGATAAGAAAGCCAAGGTTTCATAAGGTTATATGGTGTAAGGATGTAGACAGTAAAGAGCAGAATCAGAATGTGTTTCCAAGTCTGTCTGGATTTACATTTTATGCTTTTTGGCCACTGCTTCCCAATGGCTAAACCCAAGATGTCTGCAAGTTGATTTTGCAGGAAAGAAATAAAAATGTTGGTAAAATATCTTAACTAAATACATTTCTAATGGGCTCAACTCACAGTGCTGAATTAATGACATTTCTAGACTATTTTTGCTTCTCTGTCATACTCACTATCTAAGTTAAAACTATTTCTAGGGTTTTCAGAATTGATTTTATTGCTTTTTATGATCATTGTGAAGGGAAAACTGTTTTAAAAACAGTTGAAACAGAAGATGGGTTTCCTTCACAGAGCTTTAGAAAGGTTCCTTATGGAGGCAGCGGCCCCGTTCCACCTTGGTTCTCTCAGTCGTTAACTTATTTATAGACGTAGAATACTTTTGAGTAATTGGTAAGTACACTATGTCTTTGTCATATGTATGTTACTAAAGATTTCTTGTATTTTTATAGTAAAATGTCTTTTCCTACCCAAGGAACATATATCCCCCAAAACAGCCTTAATTATGATTGAAAGCACACACAAAATATTCAACAGAAATAAAAGCCCTTTTTACAAGATACCATTTGGCAAGAGTATAGATATATGTTACTATTTGGGTATAATTTCATTGTTAAAGGCCTTTTCTAACTTTTCTCTAGCTATGCGAATTCAAAAAGTAGATGCCAGTATATACACTTGAAAAGAAAATCATGCATTATGTTCACGAAATGCATATTATTGTTGTAGAACTGTGTTGACATTTTACTTGGTCTTTTCAGTGAGTTGTCAAATAAAAATGGCATCAGACACATTTTTACAGTATATTTTTTGACAAGTTAAACTGATTCTCACTGGTTCTTTCTCTCTCTCAAAAACATGCGGACACTCTCGCCCTACTTCATCTATCTATTAGCAGATACTCTTACATTTAAGTAAAATCCATTAATAAAGCATCTCTTCAGTTGAAATCTAAAGGTTTATTCATAATACTGGGACGAAAACTTACCTTTTTGACTTCTTTACTTGATCTGAATGTCTGCTGAACAAAAGAATCACTTTCAATGGCTTCAATTTCTTTTACTCTTTTTACTTGTTCTACCAGGGTGGTTTGGTCTAAAAAAAGGGGGGGGGAGGGGAACTGTCAGTGCGTTTTGGCATATAAACTTGTTAACGACACGACACCTAAGCCGAGTTCTTTCTATGAAGCAATTTTGAATCACAAAATTTAACTGGATGAAAAGAAAAATTTAAATGGATGAAAAACTATAGTTATGGTTAGGCTACAGCAAGAAACTTTTCTTCCCTTAAGACCTGCAAGTTTATAATGTCCCTATATACTTAGACTTTCACTAAAACCTAAAACATTGCTGAAAAGGCACTGCTATAATGATCCAAGCCAATCTGGGCTAATCTAGTGGGAGAACTTTCAAAACACAAGTGGAAAAAAACCACCCTCATTATTTTGAAAATACACATTAAACTAAAATAAGAGCACAATAAATCCACCTGCACCATCCAGCTTCTATAATCATTAACTTCCATTATTCTTAATTAATCTATCCATCACACTTCAGTGTGTAAGTGTGTGTTTTGGTAGATCGGAGTATTTAAAGTAAATCCCAGATATCATACCATGTTACCACTAAATATTTCAGTAGACAGAGCTTAAGAAAAAAAATTAAAAACAGCACCATAACAATATTATCTTCACATCCGACAATGTTACCAACTAGAGGCCTTATGCACGAAATCTGTGCAAGCGTAGGCCTTCACAGCCCCAGCTTCGTCCGGAAGGTCATCTGGATGGTTGTTCCACTTTCAGTCGTTTGGTCGATTTGCATATTATTCTTTTATTATTATAGATAATTCTCTTAATATAACCTTATACAGTCCATGTTTAATTTTCACATGTTAAAAAACATGTCTTTTTATAGTTGGCTTGTTTGGAACTGGATCCCAACAACGTCTACTTATTATACTTGGTCAATAAGTATCATAAATCCCTTTTAATCACTTCCTGTCCACTGTCCTTCCTTTCCTTGGCATTTATTTATTGAAGAAAACGGATCATTAATCCTTTAACAATTTCCATATTCTGGGTCTGGCTAATTTTTATTTTCATGATGTCATTTAACATGCTCCTTTATCCTTCGTAGTTTGTGTAAGCCAATAGTTAGATCTAGATTCAGTTTCAATTTCTTCTGACCAAGAATACATCAAAGGTGGTGCTGTCTAATCCAATTACATCACATCAGGATGCGCTTCTCCCACTTTCAGTGAGGCTAAGATTGAGCAGTGGGTCCAAAGTGTTGTCAGCCTGCCCCTTCTATTATGAAGTTCTCCATAACCCTTCCCTGAAAGGTTTTAGGAAATATTAATATTTGTTGCTTAGATCTATCATTTTATTAGAGTTGAAAATGGTGATTTCTAATTCAATTATCCTTCCTGCATTTATTAGCTCTAATTCCTCTCTAATGAAGAAGTTGCCTCATTGACTATTTGGTGATTATAAGATATAGTCTACACAGGAAAAGGCAAAATATATTTTTAATTATTGCCCTCTATTAATTTTGGTACAAACAAAGATGACCAATAGAAGCTAATATTTGTATTTTTTAATGTATTTTAGTCCATGGTAGTTGTTTTCATATTTTAAATTAGTATATCTCTTCAGGTTGGTTTCTGCATCCATCTGATATGATCCTTAGTAGTGAAGGTTTGAAAAGATGTTCCAGGCTCATTTCTTAGTTTCCATCCAGGACTTAAAGTCAGCCATATCTCCAAAGAGCCTGGGATCCTTTTAGGGAGGAAAGGTATTGAGAGAGAATAGCCTGGGCAGCAGAGGTGCTCACTGCGACTGGATTGCCATTGCTTCTCAGCCTTTTCAGTGGGTGACATAGGAAATACAAGTATTCCCTCTGGTTCTCAAAAGTTCCCATCACGCTACTTCACTTTTACAAAAGATCTACATTAGGACATGCTTTTGTTAACTGAAAAACCTGGAGAGGATTTCACTTTTATGGAAAAGGCAAAAGTGAAAACAACATTCAGCTTTTGTTTTGCAGCGACAGCCAGAGCCAAAAACTCCCATCTTTGGAAGAATATATTTTCCTACATTAAAGCAAGCACTGTTGGAGTATCATGGAAGAACTAATAGCTCCACATGCTTTAGAATAAAAGCTCCTGTGGATTTTAATTATGCAATGTACTAATTGAGCATGTGAAATGAGAGAAGATTCTTTGCTCAGCTAACTTATTAATATTAACGCATCCCATACCTATGGATAACATGTTTATTAGTGTTAATATAGCAGAGAAAAAAATGATAATGTATACCATTCCACATGATCCAACTTTAATTTGCCAATATGAAAACAATTTGTCTGTATAGGTCTTAATTAGCTCACTATTATTTCAAAATCAGTAATTCCCAAGCGAAGTCAAATGTTTCTGACTTCAGGATGTCTCATACGAACCAACCGTTTGACCCTTTGGAATTTTCCTTAACATATTCTCTCATTTGGATTTACAAAGCACATCATTAGTATTAAATGTCAGAGGTGAGCACACAAGCAGTACTTGATGTATAAAGCTTATAATGTTCATAGATTTAATTACGGACATACATCCTGTCGGTTTGTTTAACAAAATAGCACTGGAGAAATTATAAAGAAAGGAAGGAAAAAGACTAGAGAAAAACAGAGCATGATCTCTGTGTTTTTCAGTGAACATCCAGGACTAACAGTGACAGGCAGAAGGGGAAAGCTAGTTTGCCTGACTTACCATCTGAAAATAAACCAGCAAAGCCTTTTGCTTTGCCATGTGGGAACCATTTTATGGCTGGTATTTAAACTAAAGAGTATGATATTTAAGTTAAAGAGTAAAAATGATATTTAAATTAAAGCTTAAGAGATTTGTGGGAGATTTACATTTTCAGTTTCATCATGGCTCAGCTCCATGCTGTCTAAAAACAACAGATATAAAAATGTTTACATTGCTTCATACTCAAAATTCTAATATTAATGTCCACAAATGTATGTCTTGAGTATAACCCTGTCATTTTTGGAAGTAGAATAAAGCACACTGGTGATATATACTAAATTGTTTTAAATTGAGGTTAAACTATATATGCCAATAAACTGAAAAGTAAGAATAGAGGACTTAAAATCCTGTACCAATTTTAAGACTGAGAAAAAAGTGAGTGAAAACTAGTTTATTGCTTATATACTTGGCCTGAATGCCTAGCATACAAAGTATCTTGCATTCATAAACTATGAGGTAAAAAAGAGTGACAAAATTACTGGGAGAATTAAGAATATAGGATTAAAAAATATTAATGTGGTAAATACGGAGAAAACATCTAGAACTTAATACTTTTTTATAAACCCACTATTGGTAAATATAATGACTTTCATAGGCTCTCTGTAAGATGTCAATAGAAGGGAGACATACTTCATATTAGTAAAATAACAAATAATGGAGTCAGAAAGCTAAGTCACTACAGACTAAAACAATCAATACTAACTCACTGCATGGAAATCGTTTTGTTCCTTTTGTGATGAAAAATTAAAATTAAATAGTTTATTAGTTACCACTAATGTTATATTATAAAAATTAGGCTCATGGGCTACTTCCTTATATATTTGACAATTTTACATGATACAACATTTATAGAATTTCCTTTTAAAATGTTGTCAAAAGGTATACACATTTAAAATTAGTAAATCAAGATGACAAAGTCCAATATAAACCTTTTATTTGAAAAGACAAAACTTTACTCTGTATGCCATTTAAAGATAATAAACATAAACAGATCTCTCAACTGGCAGCAGTGCTAGGCTGAACACAGCAGATGGCACTATTACCCAAGAGGTAATCGTGAAATAAAAGAATGGGAGTTTCATGAAAGGTTTCTCACACATGAAAATCTCATCTTCAACTGACTGCTTTTGAATATTAATATTTTATGAATTTATCCAAAGTTAAAATGCATTTTATGTTACAAAAGAATTTGGGTTGGTTTGCCTCATAGTTATTGAGTTACTTATGCTACTTTTCTCTTCCAGAAAAAAAAAAATTATATACTAATAGCATTGTTACAAATCCATGAATAACACAAAAGAATTTCTTCAGTTTAAACTGACAAATTTTCATGAAGAATGCAAATATCCTTGCAATTCCTCTTTAGAGTAAAATATACATACTGAACACAAAACATGCAGGTACTGAAATGTGAGGCATTTTCAAGAATGAAGAAAGCAAACAGCATCAAACTGGCTATTCAATAAATGAATGAATGAATGAATGAATAAACAAAGCTATTCAAGAAAATCTATAAACAAATAAAACATCCCATAAAACTTACTTGAAATTCCACTTATTAAAACAATTTCTTATGAGCACAAGTTTTAACAGAAGGCAGCCACTGCTTTCTCTTTTAAAACAAAGCATACAAAGTACATGTCAGAAATTCATCCCAACCCTGACATTTTCAGGTTGTGCTCATAAGTCCCACATCCCTTGGCATAAATGTTCAGAACTGATGTCCACAAGTAATTTGGAAGGTGAGAAAAGTTCTTCAGTAGAAGGTGGCTTGTTTGTTAGTCTTCTGGAGGCTATGACACAGAATCAAGTTACTTATGTTGATGAGGCTCCTGAAGTGTCTAACAGCAAACCCCCTTGGAAAGACTCCCAGACAGACTCATCTTACATTAAACTGCTTTCCATATTATATTATGTTGCAGAAATAACTTAATGTGGACATACCAGTGAAGAATTTTTGATAGACATTTCCATAAGTGTAAGGGAATTGGGTACCAGGCTAAGCTTCGCTAAAAATAAAATCACACTGAACCTCATTTAACTCCTCTCACCTAGAATGCTCTCAACTTTTCTCAATCCTTCCTGTCACTTCAGGCATCCTTCTGCTGATGCTTTCACAGGCCACCTATGAGAAAAGGGGTCTCTTCCATAATTCGTTTGGTTTTCCCCATATGTTGCCTTGCACTGATATTAATCTCTTCATGAGTGAAAGCTTAATTTCTCCAACTACAGGGGACATACCTTTTTTTGTGTGTCAATTTAGGACTTAGTGTAGTATGTTTTATTATTTA